ATCAAAGTCATAAACAAGCAATTACACAGATTATTCTTGAATTACTCTTTTCCAATCACGACAATATACAATTTCAACATCGGAGCATGTAACAACTCGGATCACATTGGATGCATTTATAAGGCAAAACAATATCTCGAACAGCCACTTATGGGCCTAAATTGTGTACAAAGTCTTTAGGACACTTTATTATTGAAGTCATTTATGGAAAGTAGAGTCAAGGCTCATTTCATAATCTGTTTCATATTTTCTCATGTTATAGGCATCACTACTCACAATTATAACTCAAGTTCTCGGCACGTTGGCCACACTCTATTTCCCAAATTCATTTGATTCATTTCAAACATCTTTATACATAGAGGATTTCACGTAGTTTAGCATAACAATATCAGTTTTAAATCTTGATTTGAAGTCTAGGCGTTTCAACACATGGTTCATATTCTTCGCACATCTTTAAATTATCAAGGATAGCACATTGATCACATTGAGGCACACCTTTCACGTATACCTAATTGCAAAACCAATTCATGTGAAATAACAGTCAATACATCATTCCAATTTTAGTCTTACAGCATTTGCACAAACACCAACGGAGCTCAATTTCTAAGAAGAGGGGGTTTTAGCCATACATACCTCAAAGAGCTTTTCCTTATGTTTCTACAATCCACCAACACCTCTAGCAATAACAATCCGGATGGAGGACAATCAAGTGGTTATCTTCCTTGATTCTTGAAAACTTGAACAAGATTTGGGTGATTATGAAGCTAGGTTCCTTCTTTCTCTCTCTATATGCTCTCAACTCTCTCTAAAATCAGTAGAAAAAATGACCCCAAATGAACTCTAAGCCTATTTATTAAAATGGGGTTGGGTTATAAAAATAGAAAAAATAAGCCTCCTAAATCGGGTCTGCAGTCCCATAATGGACCGCAAAATAGGAATGTGGGCCGCACACGCGTCGCAAAACCCGATGCCTAGAACCGGGCTACACTGGACAGGTCTGCGACCATTTTGCAGTCGCATAACCACTTCTGCGGTCGCATAATGGTCGCAGAATTGCATTATGCCAGCCTTTGGTAATTTGATCATAACTTTGTGTAGGAATGTCCAAATGACGAATGGTTTGAAGCGTTGGAAACTAGACTCGAAGGCCGTTCATATGATAGGTTGTTCATCACATAAAACCTTATATATATATATATATATATATATATATATATATATATATATATATATATATATATATATGCATGCTCGTTCAAAGTGGGGACTTGTGCGAACTCATTTAGAATTTTAGCCTATTATGAAATTTTCCAATTTGACTTAGACTTAGGACTTTCCTTGGACCCCAAATTACTTACAATAAGACTTATACACTTATGTACCAAATCCAGTTGATGACCATCATGTTAATAGCACATAAAATATATAATTAGTCTATCTAGCACCACGAAGTCCAAATTACTTAGCGAAATTTTCCGGGGCCTTACCGGGAGGTCTTCGGTTCCTACTGGTGAGTTTCGAGGTGGTCAGAGGCAGCAGTACTTGAGGTATCCATCCCAGCACTCGGCTAGCACGCCCCCTCAGTTTGGCGGTAAGAGATTTGATCGTTCTACATAATCAGGGTCTGGTCAGAATTCAGGGCCTCAGATTCTCAGTATAGGGGTGAGTCAAATCAAATGAGGCCACCCTTACCACGATGTACTCAATATGGTAAGCAGCATACCGGGTAGTGTCGTATGGGGTTAGGTGTTTGTTATACTTGTGGTTATCTAGGCCACGTTATGAGGGATTGTCCGATGAGAGGTGATGCAAGCATAGCTCAGCCGTCGGGATCTGCAGCTGGTTCGTCATCATCAGTACGCCCCCTGGGCAAGGTCCCCAAGCACCAATGAGTCGTGGTAGAGGCAGATGTAGAGCATCTAGCTCGATCAGCCCTCAAAATCGCATTTATGTATTGGCAGGACGAGAGGACCAGGAGTCATCGCCTGATGTTGTTACAGGTATATTATCAGTCTCCTCATATGATGTATATGCACTGATTGACCCAGGTTCCACCTTATCATACGTTACTCCGTTAGTTGCTGGTAAGTTTGGAATAAAACCTGAGTTGGTTAAACCTTTTGAGGTATCTACACCTGTTGGGGACTTGGTGATAGCTAAACAAGTATATAAGGGTTGTATAGTAGTAGTTCATGGTCGAACTACCGTAGCAGACTTAATCGAGTTAGATATGGTAGAATTTAATGTTATAATGGGTATGGATTTGTTAGCTTCTTGTTATGCCAACGTTGATTGTAGATCAAAAATAGTCCGATTTTAATTTTCGGGGGAGCCTATTTTGGAGTGGAAAGGTAATACAGCATCGCCAAGAGAAAGATTCATTTCCTATCTCAAGGCAAGGAAGATGATCAGAAAGGGCTGTATTTATTACTTAGTTCGGGTTCAGGATGTGGAAGTGGAGTCACCAACCATTCAGTCCATCCCTGTGGTCAATGAGTTTCCTAATGTTTTTCTCGATGAGCTTCCGGGTCTCCCGCCAGAGCGAGAAATTGAGTTTTCTATTGACCTACTACCAGATACTCACCCAATATCTATTCCTCCCTATAGAATGGCCCCCGCAAAGCTGAAAGAATTGAAAGAACAATTAAAGGACTTACTTGAGAAAGGCTTTATCAGACCTAGTACGTCACCATAGGGAGCACCTGTTTTGTTTGTGAGAAAGAAAGATGGTTCCTTACGAATGTGTATTGATTATAGGCAGCTGAATAAGGTGACGATCAAGAATAAGTACCCGCTTCGAGAATTGATGATTTATTTGATTAGTTGCAAGTGCCAAGTATTTTTCAAAGATAGACTTAAGGTCTGGGTACCATCAGGTATGGGTTAAGGATGAAGATATTCCGAAGACAGCATTCAGGACTAGATATGGGCACTTTGAGTTACGAGTTATGTCATTCGGTCTAACCAATGCCCCAGCAGTATTCATGGATTTGATGAACCGTGTGTTCAGGCCTTTTTTCAGATCTGTTCCTAATTGTATTTATCGATGATATATTGGTGTATTCTCGTTCAGAGTATGAGCACGCTGATCATCTGTGTACTGTGCTCAGAGTTCTACAAGAAGGGAAGTTGCATGCAAAATTTTCTAAATGTGAATTCTGGTTGAACTCTGTATCTTTCCTTGGGCATGTTATTTCGGGTGAAGGTATCCGGGTGGATACACAAAAGATTGAGGCATTAAAGACTTGTCCTAGACCCACAACACCGACGGAGGTTCGTAGCTTTCTCGGTTTGGCAGGTTATTACAGAAGATTCGTGGAAGGATTTTCTTCCCTTTCAGCATATTTGACAAAGTTGACTCAGAAGGGAGCAGAGTTTCAATGGATTGATGCTTGCGAATGAAGTTTCCAGGCATTAAAGGACAGATTAACGTCAGCACCGATTCTAACGCTTCCAGAAGGGACAGATGGTTATGTGATCTATTGTGACGCTTCAGGCATTGGATTGGGTTGTGTGCTGATGCAGCATGGTAAGGTTGTGGCTTATGCTTCTAGACAACTAAGAAAGCACAAGAAGAACTACCCGACCCACGATTTAGAGTTAGTCGCGGTGATTCATGCACTAAAGATGTGGAGGCACAACTTGTATGGCATTCATGTTGATATCTATATGGATCATAAGAGCCTCTAGTACATCTTCAAGAAAAAGGAATTGAATCTACGTCAAGGAGATGGTTGGAGCTACTTAAAGACTATGACGTTGATATTTTATACCATCCGGGGAAGGCGAACGTAGTAGCCGACGCCCTCAGCCGTAGATCTATGGGTATCCTATCGTATTTACGGCCAAAAAATAGGGGAATAGCCCATGAGATTCATTAGCGCTAGTCTTGGAGTTCGGTTACTGGACTCAGGTGATATTGGAATTACTCTTCAGGATACGGCAACATCCTCTTTAGTAATTGAAGTAAATGAACGCCAGTACGAGGATCCTGTGCTAGTTCATTATAGGGATACCACTCTTCATAAGGAGAAGACACCATTTGAAATTACAAAACATGGGGTCCTCAGATATCAAGGGTGATTATGTGTGCCTAATGTTGCAGAGCTGTGTCGGCAGGTTATGGGAGAAACTCACTATTCTCGTTATTCTATCCATCCAGGAGCAACAAAGATATATCATGATATCAGGGAAGTGTATTGGTGGGACGGAAGGAAAAAGGATATAGCAGAATTTGTTGCTCAGTGTCCTAACTGTCAGCAGGTTAAGATTGAGCATCAAAAACCCGGTGGATAATTGCAGGCTTTGGAGATTCCGACTTGGAAATGGGAAGTAATCAATATGGACTTCATCGTAGGCTTACCTTGTACCCAGCGTAAGTTCGATTCGATATGGGTGATTGCTGATAGTCTTACAAAGTCAGCCCATTTTCTGCCCGTTAAAACTACATATTCTTCAGAGGATTATGCAAGGCTTTATATTAAGGAGATAGTACGACTGCATGGTGTCCCTGTATCTATTATCTCGGATAGAGGAGCTCGATTTACAGCTAACTTCTGGAGGTCCTTCCAAAAAGGATTGGGGACTCAAGTAAGTCTTAGTACGGCATTTCATCCTAGACAGACGGACAGGCTGAGCGTACTATTCAGACACTGGAGGATATGTTACGAGCTTGTGTAACTTCAAAGGTAGCTGGGATGATCATCTGTCACTTTTGAGTTCGCATATAATAATAGTTACCATTCCAGTATTCAAATGTCTCCATACAAAGCTCTTTATGGACGGAAGTGTAGGTCGCCTATAGGGTGGTTCGATGTTGGAGAATCTGAATTACATGGGCCAGCCCTGGTTCAGCAGGCCATAGAAAAAGTAAAGCTTATCCGGGATTGACTATTGAAAGCTCAGAGTCGTAAAAAGTCATATTCTGACGTGCGGCGACGAGATTTAGAGCTCGGGTTGATGACTGGGTATTCTTAAAGGTGTCACCTATAAAGGGTGTGATGAGGTTTGGCAAGAAGGGTAAACTTAGCCCACGGTATATTGGGCCTTATAGGATCATTCGGAAAGTGGGCCAGGTAGCTTATGAGTTAGAATTGCCCTCGAAGTTGGAGTCTGTCCATCCGGTTTTTCACATATCTATGTTACGGAAGTACATTGGCGATCCTACCCGAGTGGTACCCACGGATGATGTACAGATTACAGAGGACTTGTCATATAAGGAAATTCCGGTTGCCATCTTAGACCGACAAACCCGCAAGCTGCGAAATAAGGAGGTAGCCTTCGTGAAAGTACTTTGGAGGAACAAGAATGTGGAAGAAATAACTTGGGAGGTCGAGGAAAACATGAAGTCTTGATAGCCCTACCTATTTCCTCCTCCAGAGAAGGGTTCAACTGAGACGCCATAATCATAAGGTACGTGTATAAATTCTTGTGTTGGTTATTGTCGTTGGTCATGTGATACCATTGTCGTTATTAATAATTGTGGTCCGGTGTTGCGTTGGATTATTAAGCTTCTACAGGGAGAGTCGGTAGAGTGTTGTTACAAAGGCGACCCTGCCAAAGTTATATGGATCACGGGGAGTTGAATATTCGAGGACGAATGTTTCTAAGGGGGGAAGGATGTTACATCTCGCATTTTCGTACGTTAACATTTCGTTTTCAGTTAACCGACGTAGACGCGGGGATGAGATCATCTTGACGTTAACGTACTTAGGCTATTTATAACAAGCGATAAATAAGTGTTATGAAGGATAAAGGGGTACACGGATTAAAGAAAACGAGTTTCGTTGAAAGTGGCCAATTTGGAATAAAATATGGGTTGAGCGATAATACCCGATAATTAAGAACTAGTACCATGCAAGGTACCATATGACCACGCTAGTATAATATATGAAGTATTTTAAAATAAATAAGAATTTTAAGTAATTTGTGGTAATTGATTAATTACCGGGTAACAGGACATTACCCAGTTAACTAATAAGTGGATAAAAAATTAATAAATTAACCCCCCCTCCAAACGTGGCAAGAAGCCACAAACCTAGAAAATGACTAAGTAGTCATAATTCTAGGTGGCTACCTATGAATAACATAATCATGGCATAAAGATTAAGTCTTAGAAAGACTTGTAAAAATCTTATCCATTCTGTCTTTAGCTTCAATTCACGTCTTTGGCTTGAAACCAAGAACCTTGGAAACAGAAAACATTTCGTCCAAATTCTTGCCAAAATTTCGATTGAAATTTCAAAGAGCAACCACAATTTCGTTTCTAAATTTCAAACTCCAACTCATTTCATTTTAAAGGCTTGCAACAGAACATTGGCCCCTTTTCTGTCATTAATCCATGAGACTTGGTGTCACTCCCTTGTAAAATATTCGAAACAACAATTTGTCTTTGGTTTAAAGCCAAAGACGTTGAGGCAGAAGCAAGTAATTTCGTTCAAGTGTCAAAGAATCCAAGGCAACAAATTTTGTTCATAAGATTTAAAGAAGCAGAAGCTTCATTTCGTACAAATAATTCAAGGAACAGGTATGTTAAATCCCTCCCTTCTTTCTTTTGGCATGGTCCAAATTATACTGAAGAAATGAGCAAACACACAGTTTCCATAAATTACTCTATTATAGAAATAGTAGGGGTGTCTATATTCTTGATTTCCAATGAGAATTACTATTATCTTTTGTTCATGGGTCTCAGAATATTATGCAGTTGGAAAAGTTTATCTGGAAGGAATTGAGATTATTACGCATTTTTCATGCATTTCACTCATTTATACATGTGCATTGACCCATGACCAGATGGCGTTATATACGCGTATATATGTAAATATATGTATATGGGGTATGGGAAAAGGTTACGGCGTTATATACGCAACACCACCTGATCAGCTGGTATATGTTGATGATGTTGCCCATAGTGGCCGAGATGATATGATGGGATGCCCTCAGTGGCTTGATGATATTATGTACACCCATACTTATGCATGGCACGACATTTATACGCACGTGCATGACATTATAAACGTCTTGGAATTTACAAAGTTATTCAGATTTAAAGATGTGTTTCTATATTCCATGTTTCATCTATGTCTTTTACGTACTAATTTTCATGCCTTACATACTCAGTACATTTTTCGTACTGACGCCCTATTTCATGGGGCCTTCCTTTCATGCCCGCAGGTGCAGGTAGGCAAGCTGACGGTCCCCCTTCTTAGGATCCCTGATCAGCGAGAGTTGGCATGCTCCATTTGATCAGGAGCTGCTTTTGATTTTGGTACGATACGTTTGTGTATATATATAGGTATATGGGTATGACGTGGCTCAGTCCCGTCTTTGTACAGTCATGTTTCTGTTAGAGGTCTGTGGACAGTATGCCTAGTTGGGTTGTATGTGGCCTTGTCAGCTTTCAGTTTTGGATGTATAGTTGTCTATAGCAGCCTTGCTGGCTCGCCCACTGTATCCTACATGTATACGTACATATGCCTTGTTGGCAGGTTTCCTTCATATATGTTATTTTCGTAATTCAGCAGATGTTACTCAGATTCATATCTTAGACGCATGTTTAGAGGTGGTTGACAGGTAGGACTCAGGCACCCATCGCGGCCCATCGGTCTGGGTCGTGACAGGAGGTGCGGTCAGCCTAGGGACAATAAGAAGAAGATTGCTACGTAATTGCTTAAATTATTTTAACTTTTAAAGTATATCTATTCAGTTTATTAACTAAATTAATTTGTTTTCAGGAAAAGAAGTTCGGGCGTCCAAAGAACCATCATGAGCTAATCAAGGAGACGCATATTGTAAAGAAGAAGAAAGAGACGGATCAAGAAAGATGGGTCGAGGACCGGGCCTCGACTGTATATGTAAGCTTTCACTTTTCTTTAAGTATTTTAATTTACTTTTATATATATTTTGAAAAACTAATTCAATTTAAATTTTCGTATATGCCTGCCACCAAACTAACGTGGAGGAATTCATCCGCACTCAGCCAGCTGGTGAATCAGGCGAGCCAACCTAACCTTCGGACGAGGATGCTGAAAGAATATGGATGGAGTATGCTAGCGGTCCAAAATGGGGGAAGGTATACGGGCTTCCTACTAAAAAGTTCCATCGCTATAAGTGTGGAATGCAAGGAATAGAGACTTCCTCGCAAGGCGAGAAACTTAATGGGGAGAGCCTCTCCGCTATGCAGGAGACTGTGACAAAGCTCACATCCGAGCTAGAAGCGGCCAAGGAAAGAGAAAGGGTTAGAGATGCTCAATTCCTTGGCATGCAAGCTCAGATCAGAACTCTCCTATCTACTGGAGCTTTTCCGTTGCCCCGGTCTCATGAGTCATCGCCAGAGGCTCGACTTGAACGTGAGCGTTTCTTCCGTCCTCCCCGTGATCGTTCCTCCCGTCCTCCCCGTGATCGTTCTTCACATCCTCCACAAGACCCTTCTCGATACCGTCTTTTAGATGAAAGTTCATCAGACGGTGATGACGATGTTGTACAAAACATTCCTTGACTTGTATATACTTTGAACTAGACAAATAGAACCGATTCTGAACTAGTTGTAATAAGTATTAACTTGGTTTTGGATTTTTAAATTCTATTGAACTTTAATTTGTTAGTTTTAATGTATTTATTGAATTGTGTTGTTGTTGTTGTTGTTTATTGTTGTTGTTGTTGTTGTTGTTGTTGGCATAAAATGCCTGTTTAGGAATTTTGGTATGCTGGCAGGTTGGTGTAGCTGCCAAAACAGGTATTTTATGCCAAAATTAAAACCTAGAAAACCGACCAAAGTTGGTTGGTATTTAATTTTAAAAAAAATTCTTCTAATTAGCGACCAAAGTTGGTCGCTTAATCTTTAAAAAAAATAAAAAATTAATAATTACCGACCAAAGTTGGTCGGTTAATGAACAAGGATTACCCAGATTTCATATTTACCGACCAACTTTGGTCGCTAATTTTTAAATTTTAATTTCTAACAAAAATATATTTTTTAATTTACCGACCAACTTTGGTCGCTAATCTTTAAATTTTAATAATTAATAATATAACGTAATTTACATACACCGACCAACTTTGGTCGGTAAAATTAAATTATTAAATATGTTACCGACCAAAGTTGGTCGGTATGTGCTTTAAATTACACAGTTGGTCCTTTTACCTTTGCGACCAACTTTGGTCGGTAATTAGCGACCAACGTTGGTCGGTATACAAAAGCGACCATTAAAATAGCGACCAAGCCTGTTTGGACGGGTTTTGGTTGGTATTTTGCATAAACAGACCAACGTTGGTCGCTTTTTGTGGTCGCTAAAACCCAGATTTCTAGTAGTGTTTAGTCCAGTGGACAGGGATGCATCAGATACAGGCTTGAGATTCTCAATCATGGTGCACATATTATCCTAACTACCTACAGTATCAATGCTAGGGAAGGCATCACTGTAGCACAACTTTAATGTTCCAAATACATTGCAAGCAGCCCAAGAGTTTCAAATCTCCTTCCAGATAATGATAGGAACATCCTGTAAAACCAACTTGTGCACTCTATTATTGGCCTTCTATTTCCACCATACATTAAGTAAACCCCTGATAGGTAGATATTGGTGTGTGATCCCCAGAGGTTGACCATTGATCTCCACACTACTCTGTAGCTCTTCCCTCCACAAAAATATGTTAATGTTTCAATTCTATGCACAAATCAGCAAATATATTCATTATTTCCCTGAGACCAAAACCTGGTAAGACCTTCATTTAAAGGTACTGTACAAAAGAAAAATCCTCCCAACACATGAAGGATTGCTTGAAGGGGATTGATTTGTGCCAAATATTGCTGATAATGCCATCGACTAGCATAAGCCTCCTTATAAGATTCCAAGCTAAAACATTGGTGAGGTGACCGTACTCGGTAGCATTCCAGATGGCATAATCCTCCTTGCCATCCTGACCCAATTCAACAGACATGATGTGTAAGGCAATTTGACTAGGCAGAGTAGTATATAAATTATGTGGATCCCAACTGTTATTAACCATGAAGTCTTTAACTTCTCCTTGGCATTGTTCCCAGTGATGTAGTTGCTAGAGGTCCAATTCAGTCCAGTTGTCCCACCAAAAATTATAATATCCAGCATTAATATTCTAGGTGATTAACTTTTCACAATTATCTCTAGCCCACAGTAGATGTTGCCATGCTTGAGAGTTTCCATTGCACCATTTCTTTCCAACACGATGCAATATAGGACAGTATTTGCTAGCTCTAAAGTGCCACCATCTTTTAACAGTAAGAGTCTTGGAAATGTCATCCATTCCCATGATACCAATACTAGCTTCATTTTTGGGAAAATATATTTTCTCCCAAGAAGTCCAATGGTATTTTTTT